TAAAATTTAACACTGAGGAAAATTAAAATATTTTTCATGCGACGCTTATCTAATATTAAACTTTACATTTGCTTAACAGAGCACAATCTTCACAATAACAGGGTATATTGCCAAAGGCAGCATGCAGACTTTTTGGAATTGCTCCCATCTCTTTCGGTTCACCTGTAAAAACATCTACGTGCTCCCTAGGACTGCATCTGTGGCTAGTTTTAAAGAATGACTATCCATGCAAATAGGCATAATTTCAGCATGAAATAATCTGTAAAATCAAGACAGTAGTCAATGCTTAGTTTGCAACCAGGATGAAAAAAAAAAAGCAGTTTTTTATACTTAGAAACATTATGTTTATTCTGCAGCCTTTGCCCACGTATTCTGGATGTACTAAAAGAATTTTCAGAGATTTGGTGTCAGAAACAGTTATGCAAGGGACGTGACGTTTGTTTACATTACTGGCTCCTTGCATACAAGAAAGCAAAGAATGATAAAATTTTTTTTTTTTAAAAAAAAAGGCTTATTGAATTCAGACGGGAAATCCAGAGCCTTACACTGTCACTGTCACAGGCCACTGTCTTCAGAGATCGTTCCTTATCAAGAAGCGCATTAAGTAAGTGAAGTTTGGCTACCTCGCGATAATAATAAAATAACACGGAGTTCTGTTGCGGGGGCCCAGCTCTACCACCTGCACTCCCGGGACCATCCCACCCTGCAAGCAACTCCCCTGGAGTCCAGGGATACCAAAATCCTGTTACGTGCCAGTGGTAGGGTCAGGCCCTGCTTGGCAGTGTGTGCTGTAAAAGACCGTCTCCTGCTTTCTATCAATTAATGCCAATGGAGTTTTTCGGGGACAGAATTGGGCTCTTACAATGAGGTCTTCGTCTAAAAAAAAAACCTGAGGAGTTGGGATTTCGGAAGGGTTGTTTTTTTAAATAAATGGCCAAGTCCTCAGGGGGTGAAAAGGGGCAACCACCGCCAGAGTTTTTAAGCAGGCAATACTGGCACAGAATAAACCAGGGTCAAGGTTGACCTTTCAGTCTAGTGCTGTTCATTTGAAAGCGATATAAACTAATTGGAAGATAACTGAAAGAGCACTTGCTTACTGCACGTAAGATATGCTAAAGTCATTCTCCGTAAAGATAATACTTGCTAATAGGAAAAAAAAAATCCCACCAACACCAAAAACCTTCATACTTTTCCTTCCTTTTCTATAGTCAAGCTATGCTTGATTGAGATCCAGCAATAAGTACGCAGACTTACACAAAAAACCTCCCATCAGGTTTCAAGTTTTGCACATTTCCCAGCAAATTTGAGGTGCCTGACCACTGTTTCCCTCTCTCTTGCCCAATCCCAACCAAGGACACGCATGGGGAGGGCTTGCTGTACCCTTGAGTCAGCAGCTCAGGAAATAGGCTGTCCTGCGCCGGGTTGGAAGGTCATTGCCACGCATCCTTCCTCCCCAGTGTCCATTTTCCTCTCCTCGAGCCCCCGTACCAGCAGCTGCTCGCCAGCCCATTCCTGCCACCGCAAACATGCCGCAGGAGGTGCTCGGGAGCGATGCCCCCTCCTCCTCTCGCTGGAAGCTGAAAGCATCAGAGTTATCGTGCACTTAACCTGGGTATTAAGCAATGTATCCCATTTGCCCTGGTGTCATCCCGAGCCTACAGACTGCCAGCTTTAAGGTTTACCTGCCTTTCGGCTTAAATATGAGAAATAGTTCCACTTCAGCCTGACAAAACAGAATGAATACTGGACGGCCAGTTAATATGTCGGTCTCAGAGGACCAAAACCAATTCACACCTCAAGGGAAGTGGGATGCCATATACAGCGGGATGCAAAATCCCAGCCACGAAGGCAGACTTTGATACTGATTAGATAGAATTGGATAAATAGGGAACTCTTGGGGGGAAAAAAAAATAATTAGGAAGTTTGTGTCCTTTATGTGGTACCAGGACTTTGGCTGCACATTGCCTCAAAACTGTATTTCATACATGTAATGTCTCTGTACAGCTATCCAGAAATATATAGGTAGAAAGATAGCTGAGGTTGTCAAGATCTATGCAGAAATCTTCAGAAGTACCATTTCTTTCCAAGTTAGAGAGTTTTAAATTTGTGAAGGTTAAATTTGCTTTACACGTCACTTTTGATACTCCTTGCGTGCCAAGTGTCATTTATGTTAAATTTACCATCCACATCTCGAGCTTCAACTCGCACAATGCGGCTTTCTCAGAAACTGAACATTTTCCATGCCCCTGTAATTAAAAATCATACCAAGGGCCTCAGCACTTCCTAAGTCCATCCATAAACATAGCTTGCAGTATTTTATTTACAAATTTACTTTCAAACCTTTTGTTTAAGGAGATATGATTACAATGTAGCTATGAATAACCTCTTAACAGCACAGCAGCTACAGACCTGGGTTTATTTCATATCCATTGGATATACATTGACATTTTAACTGGAAACAGATTCATTTCTAGGTATCCAAGAGTTACTGTTACCAAACCTTTGCCTAGAACAGTCTTAAGAAAGGAATATGATGTCAGGTATTTAACCACACTCGTTACAAAGAAATCAATTTCTGTAATCAATTTTGTTAACTCATCTTGATCTACAAAGATGCTGAGCATTTTCTCATAGATTAATTCGTACACCTATGAGATGCAAAGGAGATGTAAATTCAAACTCACCCTCGTCAGACACTCTGAAGGACCCTAGCCTAACCTAAACAGCCATTAAACACACAGCAGCAACGTGCTATACTTGACGAATATTCACGGATGAATTCAAGGAGATACCGGTTTAAGGAGCTGAAATTGTTCCTATCTTTTCACAAGCCGACTACTTTCTTTGGTCCAGCGTCTGCCTGCTTCACGTCGGCCCATTATGCCAATACCACACAAGAAATTTAACACGCTTCTGCTAATAGAAATATTTAGATCTTTCACTCTAAAGCGCTACACGGGGTATGGCTTTGCCAGAATCAGCCAGGAAGCAAAGGACGAAAATTATTCCAGTCAACAGCATTTCACGCGCAAAACCACAGCTAAAATTCGAAGAACAGATGACATCTATTCACCATAGATCTGTTCAGTGCTAAAATCACGTCAGCCACCAACGAGAAAGTACTACCTTTCATCCAGCTCTGACACAAGTTTTCTTGGGAGAAAGGGTTATCTAACTCCCTCAGCTGAGATGTCTCATCAAAGAACGTGAAACAAGGCAGAAATGATGAGCAACTACTTGTGCAGGAACAACTACTTTATTAGGATTTCACCATAATAAGAAGTAAAAATTGGAGCCTGACTTGCTTCAAACTGATGCTACCTGCTCTTTAGCCTCAAAGAAAAAAGCGACCCTCGTTTTATGAACCTGGTGATACCCACGGCCCAATCCAGCAAGGTATTCAGCAATTCCTGCGAATGCCAAACATCCGCAATTCCCATCGACTACAGATGGGAACGGACAGAGCTCACTAACAGGAAGGATTCGGCATCTCATTAGCTCAGGCCTTTATTTTGGGGAGATGCAGTGCCCTCCATTACGTAGCCGTGCTCGGCACTGCTTGAAGAAAACAGATTCTTTGAATGAGAAAAAGGAATTGAGCTGCTCAAGGTAGAAAACTGAAAACATTTCCCTCCTCTCAAGCCAGTTTGGTCCTTGTTACTTCACTGATCGTGAAGAAAATAACTCACATGGTGTTCGTGCAGACACAATAGTGAAACGTTCGCAAGATTC